TTCCAGTGGAAAGAGTTCAGGAATCGCTGAAGGAGATGGAGATGATAAACTCCAGTGAAAACGGCGGCGACGGCGGATCTCCGGTGGTGGCGCTGAAGAGAAAACACTCGATGAGGAAGAAATTCACAAGGAGAAAGAGCAAAGAAAGAGATGGGAGTGGAAAGATTGTGAATAATGTGGTTGTTTTGGAAGATCTTGGGCCTGATTATTTGGAAGAACTTCTAGAGTCGTCGGAGAATCTCAGGCCATAGTCAATTTTTAGCAGAAGAACATCATAAATTTTGGTTGATTCATTAAAAACAAACACCTCCCTCATCAACATTATCAATATTACGCTCATTTATTAATAGAGTTTTCAAGATTTTGTATAGTTTTTCTGGGCTTTTTCAAGAAAGAGAAAATAAAAATCTTTCGAGTTTTTTTTTTTGTTATTAATGTGTGTGTGTATATATATATATATATATATATATATTTCTTATTATTTAAAGAAAAGAAAAATATTGTCGGGTACCAATTATACGGGTAACGGATCATTTTAATTTATTTTATTCCACTTAATTTATTGGTCTTGGGCCTTAGCTCAGCCCAGTTGAATGAATTGGGCTAATCAGCCCAGAGTCATGCTGGCCCAAAGCCTTTTCAATATATATATATATATATATACTTCTTTTTTTTTTTCTAAAATAATAAAATTGCTTTAACTTTTCATCTTATAGAGAAGTATTGAAAGTTTCGATAATACCTTTAAATCTTAAAAAAAAAATTAAATACTCTTATAATAGATCCCATCAGGGCCTATAATATGTCATAATTCTGAGAAATCTTGCTACGAAGCCATCCAACATTGGCACTTTGGACAATACCATTGGAATAAGCGGTCCATTTAAAGCAGATAGGCTCTCGTTTTCATGCGGCCATTTGAAACAAGTACGTTCATGAACCATTCTTCATTGGGTTATTGGAGTGAGGAACGAAACATTTCTCATTAGAGTGTGTAACCTCTCCCTAATAGATGTATTTTTAAAATCGTGAGGTTGACGACAATACGTAACATGCTAAAATAGCAATATCTATTAGTTGTGGGCTTGAACTGTTACCGCTGTGCATAGAATATTGGATGTCTCACCCACAAACAACCTAGGAAACATAGTTGAAAAAAAAAAATTATTTTTTTAAGACTTATCTTGACTTTTTGAAGTCAACTTCTAGGTTGCTTGAACGTTCAAATATACCATTAAATCATTCATTCTAGGCATCTTAATTCCATTGAAAATTTAGGATTGACCAAGTCAAAGTCAATTAACGTTGGATTGTACTCGTTTTCCCTTAGCTCGCTCTCGAATACTCTCCCTCTCTCCACTTGTCTTCTCCCTCTCATGTCTCTATTAATCCCTTCCGATTTTCCTTCAAGTTTGCTCACTCGTCTTCCTCTCCCTCACCTTCAATCTCTGATCAAGAATTATCAGTATTTCTCCCTCACAATCGCACTGTCGTGATCTTCCTATCACGTCACGAAAGAAAATACAAACTATTCTCTTTTGTTGTTTTGTTTTTGTTGAATATAGAAGTAGAAGGACATTTCACTCAAGCAATGACGAACAAGTGTCGTGTGTAAATATTAACTTCTCGTTGTTTTTGTTGTCCCCTTGATTTGTTTTTTATTTTTTGTTTGATTGTATGGAAAAAAAATTAATATATTTAATCAAATTTTATATAATATAGTAATTACAATAATTAAAAGACATGTCCGGTGAATAATTGTATTGTTTTCTATTATGAATACGTTTGTTGACCTGATATCAGCAGCATATCAACATCATATCAATATCGAGACTTCAATTCCACAATACATCAATTTATATATGGACAAAATATGGTTCTAAAAGTTATTTAAATTAATAATTAAATGATTTATATTTTCAATAATCTTTTGTATTTATACAAATTGCTAATATTGAACCTCCAATTTACAATTAAGAAATAGGGATAGAAAGAGACCAAAAGAGACTTTTGATTGGTATATTCCAATAGATGCCCTCAGGGGCATTTCTGGAATTTGGACTGCTTCACTTATAAAAATAGCCGTTTTATCTTCATCTTCTTCGTCCCATCATCCAAGCTTTGTTCTCCGCCATTGTGTCATTTTTCCAGAAATTTCAGGTTCTCTTTCTTTCTCTACAGATCTTATTTTTTTTAAAAAAAATATATTTTTGAAATTGAAAATTATGGGTAATATGTAATTTGTTAGTATTTCGTTTACTTTCTTTCGGGTATTATAATTAGCTCTTAAGTTCGATAATGACGAGAATTAGTGTAACAGATATCTTCTTCACTATATATGTTCGAATCGATAAAAACGGTAAATCCTAAGAGAAATTCAATTCAAACCCTATATAGCTTTTTCTTCTTCTTTTTTTTTCGAGTGAATCTTAAAGATTTTTAAAATTCAAATTTGTTCTTTCAATTTTTCAAAATTTAAAATTTAAATTTCAGTTGACCGGAGAGGAGGAGGAGGAGGAGGAAGATTGATCGGAGATCTTCCATAGCCAAAAGCTTAAGATGAGCGAACAACTGGGAGTGCTAAGCGCACTCGATCTTGCAAAAACCCAATGGTACCATTTCACGGCAATCATCATCGCCGGAATGGGTTTCTTCACCGACGCCTACGACCTCTTCTGCATCTCCATTGTCACCAAGCTCCTTGGACGAATCTATTACCATATTCAAAACTCCCCCCGACCCGGATCTCTTCCCCCCAACGTCGCCGCCGCTGTCAACGGCGTTGCCCTCTGCGGCACCCTCGCCGGCCAACTCTTCTTCGGCTGGCTCGGCGACAAACTTGGCCGGAAAAGGGTCTACGGCATTACTCTCATTCTCATGGTCCTCTGTTCCATCGCCTCCGGCCTCTCCTTCAGCCACTCCCCTAAAGCCGTTATTTCCACCCTCTGTTTCTTCCGTTTCTGGCTCGGCTTCGGAATCGGCGGCGACTACCCTCTCTCCGCCACTATAATGTCGGAATACGCCAACAAAAAAACCCGCGGCGCATTCATCGCCGCCGTCTTCGCAATGCAGGGGTTCGGAATTTTAGCCGGAGGAATCGTTGCTTTGGTAGTCTCCGCCGCCTTCAACAACCGCTTCCCTGCACCACCCTACAGCGAAAATCCCTCCCGCCCCACAATCCCGGAGGCGGATTACGTGTGGCGAATCGTCCTAATGTTCGGCGCAATTCCGGCCGGGATAACATACTACTGGCGGATGAAAATGCCAGAGACGGCGAGATACACCGCTCTGGTGGCCCAAAACGCAAAACAAGCCGCCGCCGACATGTCAAAAGTGCTGCAAGTCCACCTCGAAGCCGAAGAAGAAAAACCCACAACCGAATCAAATCAAAATCCAAACCGTTTCGGTTTATTCTCGAAGAAATTCGCCAAACGCCATGGGCTCCACTTATTGGGGACAACCACCACCTGGTTTCTACTAGACATAGCGTTTTACAGCCAAAACCTCTTCCAAAAAGACATTTTCACCGCCATCGAATGGCTTCCACCGGCGGCGACAATGAGCGAATTAGAAGAATGTTTCAAAATCGCACGCGCACAGACACTAATTGCCCTGTGCGGGACGGTTCCGGGGTACTGGTTCACGGTGGTGTTCATCGATTACATAGGGAGATTCGTGATTCAATTGATGGGGTTCATAATGATGACGATTTTCATGTTTGCTCTGGCTTTTCCGTACAATCATTGGAAGGAGAAGCCGCACAGAATTGGGTTTGTGGTGATGTATTCGTTGACGTTTTTCTTTGCGAATTTTGGGCCGAATTCGACGACGTTTATAGTGCCGGCGGAGATATTTCCGGCGAGGTTGAGGTCGACTTGCCATGGGATATCGGCGGCGGCGGGGAAGGCAGGGGCGATAGTGGGGGCGTTTGGGTTTTTGTATGCGGCGCAGAGTAAGGATCCGGCGATGACGGAGCCGGGGTACCCGACGGGGATCGGCGTTAAGAATGCTTTGATTGTGTTGGGATGCATTAATTTCTTGGGAGCTTTGTTTACTCTGTTAGTGCCGGAATCCAAAGGCAAATCTCTGGAGGAGTTGACCGGGGAGAACCAAGGGGATGACGATGGAATTGGAACTTCCCCTGTCTGATAATTCAATAAAAGAAAAAATTAAAATCCACGCCCAGTGGGACTCGAACCCACAATCGCCTGATTAGAAGTCAGACGCCTTATCCATTAGGCCATGGGCGCTTATTTGTTTCATAGGATCCAAGTAAATTATAAATTATAAAATAAGTATCTATATTTTTCTTAGAAGTAAAACACAAGATTGAATATTTTAATCTAATTCTAAAATTTACCCTTTTTTAATCGCTATTTTATTCCCACAAATATTCTACTAAATTATGTTTTTATCGACCACGAAAATATCTATATTTTTAGTTCAACATAGTAGAAGGGAATTCGAATATTTGACTTGTTGATCGAAAGTACATATTTTATGTCAGTTGAATAAGTACACAAATACAAGTTATTATTGGATGCATCGAGTAGAATTCTAGACTCATGTTCTATCGCGTTTAAATATATTAACATAACAATAATTTAATCCCTTTCTTAAAGTTCCCTTCAAAATTAAATGTCAATTCATATGATGTTAAGATTTAATATTTGTCGCTTATAAACACACTTGTCCCTAATGAATTCATCATTCATCTATGTTTGAAGTTTTGTTGAATTTGATAACCATTTGGTTTTTAAAAATTATACTCGCTTTTTCACATTTTTGTTCCAAGTCAAATTCCAAAAACAAATATAAGTGTCAAAACTCGGTTTGAATTTTGAAAACAGTTCGAGAAAGTACATAACAAAACGAATAAATTAATAGGTGTGAATCGAGCTTAAAAACTTAATTCTCAAAGATCAAAGACCAAATAGTTATCAAATGAAGGAAATATATTGTATTTCTCGGTTTCGATGACTAAAATCAGATCCTAAGAGTAACCACATAAATTTGAATGATACATACTTCAATACCATGCCATGGTCAAGATACTCGAGGACTTGAAGGAATTACAATGGGAAACTGCACATATTTGGACAAATTTGCGAATAAAGTTGTGCACAGTTTTATGTTTTATGAGTATGTTTATATGTACAGAAAGGAGGAGGCATCTAAACTCGGTACCTTTAGAGATCAAAAAGTGTACCAAACATCAGCACGCACAAGCCAACAATGAGATGTGAAACCATTATCATTCCGAAGTTCCTGCACGAATTTAATAGAAAATATGGAGTCAAACAAGTCAGAAAAGTCGAAATCGAAGAGTAAAATCAAGTTTCAAGATAGAAGATATATGTGAGATCCCACGTCAATTGGAGAGGAGAACGAAACATTATTTATAAGAGTGTGGAAACCTCTCCTTAACAGATGCGTTTTAAAAACTTCGAGGGAAAGTCTGAAAGAAAAAGTCCAAAGAGGACAATATTTGCTAGCGGTGTGCTTGGGCTGTTACAAACATTTTAAAAACTTTGAGAGGATACCTACCCGAAAGGGAAAACCCAAAAGAAACAATATCTACTAGCGGTGGGTTTGAGCCGTTACAATTTAAAACCAATGTAAAACTACTGAAGTAATGTAGAACTCACTCTATCATTAATTGAAGTCTCATCTATCAGTAGTTCCTTCAGATGATTCTGGCAGCCCTTTTGATGAAGAACAAAACTGTGGAACAGAAAAGGAAGTTCTGCTGGTGGATGGCTTCTTAGATGATGAAGATTCAGCAGTAGAGCATAAATCTTCGTCTGGTTTCGACGTCCCAGCTTCACTTTGTACGTCGTTGCGAATATTATATTGAAATTCTCCTTTCTCTTCCATAGGCTTAGACCGTTTCCTACTCAATGGATTATCAACCTTTGAAGTTTGAATCATGGGTACCTTCTGATCATTAGAAGAATAAGTAGCACAGGTTTTTGGCTCTGCTACAACATTTGCAGTACCCAAGGATTGAATCCTATCTGCATTATCCATAACAACTTCATTTGTACCATTTGAATTTGCCCCAGCAGCTGCTTCAATTTCCCGCATTTTGATTATGGCTTCTCTCAATCGATTAGCAGCCAAGTCTAAGTCAACTATCGGTGTAGGATAGTTTAAACCTAACTCAACTCCTGAAACTTTTAGGACAGTCTGAGGTGCATCCCAAGGATGATGAATCCACTCGGTCGGCATTCGTGCTAGCTCAGGCAGCCAATGCCTAATATATTCTCCGTCTGGATCGTATTTTGAGCCTTGAATCTAAATTCAAGAATGTCGAGTTAGCATGATGAGATAAGGAAGTAGAGACTAACGTTTAACTGATAATTTTAGGTATAACAAGGCATCATAACCGATATTTTTAAAAAAAATATAAATAAAGGTACTGTAATTGGCCAGCCAATAATCTTCTTATTCCTTTAATTATGAATAAAAAACTGAACTATATATCAGTACAAGGCATCAGATATGTTATTTTAGATGCTGCTAGATTCAGATAAATGTATATTTGGAAGAATTTCAAGCATATCTCTTGTTCTATTTGTTGAGGATTGTTGGGAGGAAGTCACACATTAGCTAATTTAGGGAATGATCATGGATTTATGAGTAAAGAATACATCTTCATTCGTACGAGGTCTTTTGGAGAAGCCCAAAGCAAAGCCATGAGAGCTTATGCTCAAAGTGGACAATATCATACTATTGTGGAGAGTCGTGATTTCTACCGTGGTATCAGAGTCATGCTCTTAATTTAGTCATGTCAATAGAATCCTCAAATGTCGAACAAATAAGTTGTGAGTCTCGAAGGTGTAGTCAAAAGTGACTCAAGTGTCAAACAAAGGGTGTAATTTGTTTGAGGACTCTAGAGAAGGAGTCGAGTCTCGATTAAGAGGAGGCTATTCGAGGGCTCCATAAGGCTAGGGGAAGGCTGTGTAGTATAGTTTGTTCGGAGGGGAGGATTGTTGGGAGGGAATCCAACATTGGCTAATTTAGGGAATGATCATGGGTTTATAAATAAGAAATGCATCTCCATTGATATGAGGCCTTTTGGAGAAGCCCAAAGCAAAGCCACGGTGGAGAGTCGTGATTCCTACCCTACTGTTCTTTATTAAGTATCTACCATATGCTTCTAACATTAAGTGTAGTTCAATTGTGGCATAGCTGACAATTAGAAATTTAATCTTGAAGACATTTGAGTTCATAAAGGTAGGTTTGATCTTTGTAGTCTACTATTAGTGCTTTAAGTTTAAAGAAACTAAACATACCTGTGGATCGTCCAATCTCTCAAGTTCATGGCCGTCTGGCAAACTCCCAGAAATATATTGCCAACCAAGGATATCACTTTCCAAATCTGCATCTAAAAGAGTGTCCCAGAAATACTTCATTCCCCATTTCCAAGGAAGAAGCAAAACCTTTACTGCAAAGCTAGAAACAATCACTCTTATTCTGTTGTGTATCCATCCAGTTGCCCAAAGCTCTCTCATTCCAGCATCAACCAATGGGTAGCCAGTTCGACCCTGCCTCCAAGCTTTAAAGTTATTCTGGCTAGCATGCCAAGGGAAGAACTTCAGGCTGCTCAGCAATGATCTCTCATGGGTGAATGGAAAGTTGAAACATATATAACGGGAATACTCTCTGAGCCCTATAGCTCTGAGAAACAGATTTGTGCTTTGTTCCCCTACAGCGTTTTCCTCTCTTGCCCACAATATCTGTTTCATTCTCACTTTTTGGAAAACCTTCCAGACACTTACTTCCCCAAAATGTAGGTATGGGGACAGTAGAGATGTCGAGCTACCGCCCAGCTGTTGCCTATTTTTCGCATATTCTAGCAGATGATTTTCTACAAATTCAGCCAGAGCCTTATCAGCGTTGCTCCACCCTGGCGACCAAGCTCTTGCTAGTAATGCATTGCTAGATTTCTCTGATTCATTTTCAAGACCTAGTTCCTCAATGCAACAACTTCCCACTGATCCTGTCAAGATTAAAACAGGAGAGAAGCTCTTAAGACAATACTCTACACAGTTCTAAAAGTTTCACAGCAAGCTCCTTTGCAGTTGCATGCATATCTATACGACAAGTATTTCAGTACTATTTTGTTAATTCCAAAATTTTGTTAGAATAGCAACCTAGCTTCTCATTCTTTCTATCTATCTTCCAAAAGTACCACAAATATCAATCCTAGAAGCATCAAAGAACGTATCTTCAAGGATGAATGATTCGGAAATTACATATATACTGTCAGAAATGTACCTGCAGCATGTTGTAGTTTCCATGGAGGGAGAGTTGAAATAAATTCCTTCTGCAAAAGAAGACATTTACCCCAATAGTCCTTGAAGGTCGTAAAAGCATTCCCATTTTCATCATATACGTCCCATGGCTCATATAAAAGATCTGCATTGTAGCTCTGTACAGAAATTCCGAGTTCAACTAGTTTTTCTTTAATATTGTGGTCTCGGACAAGTGAAATGGGATCTGAGATGAAAAGATAACCATTAGTAGAATGATTTTGGTATCTCTGTAGTTTGACACAGGCACTTTCCCAAGGCAAGAAGAATTGCTTTAAAACTATTTATTCGGCCTTACATCAAGCAGAAGTTAAAACTCCTTATTTTACTAGGTCCTATTCCAAAATGTGGTTGCTTGAGAATGAAATCAACTCTTTGTTGAAGATTGTTGGGAGGGAGTCCAACATCGGATAATTAAAGGAATGGTCATGGATTTATAACTAAAAAATACATCTTCATTGGTATGAGACCTTTTGGGGAAGCCAAAAGCAAAGCCTTGAGAGCTTATGCTCAAAGTGGAAAATATCATACCATTGTGGAGGGTTGTGATTCCCAACACTCTTGTCATGGAGGATATAAAATGAGATAATTATGTTCTTACCAAGGTTCCTCTCCACCAGTTAAGTGAAAATGATTAAGTATCATGATTTGTGTATTTTATACAATATCTACCTTGAACTGATGGTGATTTATATTGTGTGTTGCTGCGAAGCCAACTGCTGACTTCATGACAAACTAATTGTTAGGTGATATGCATATTTTGAGAAATCTCTTTTCCTACATTTTATCCCCCAACCTTCCAACTGGGTAGTAATGAAGTTATCTATCCACACCAAGTTTGGTAAGGTTTGCCACTAGAAATTTACAGGAGTTTTTTCTTTTTTGTCGTAGAAAAAGCAAATATTTTGTTCACCAACACAAAGTAAGGTGCACAGGAAATTCCAAAGTAGCATGATGATCCACTACGAAACTACAACTCAGTCAGCAGCAAAGAACATTGAGCAGGACATGCCATTACAAAGTAATGACAATTCCACTACACAGAATTCCCAAGGGCAATGATACACATACTGCAATCAGTAAGTGCATTAGCATATTCCTAATTGAAAAGAGCATCAAATCTCAAGCAAGAGAAGGAAACTAGAAAGGAACATACGTACCGTAGAGACAGTTAAATGCTACTTTTGTTGCCCCAATAGCATTGATACACTCCAGAAGAGAGAAAATAGTACTCTGAGTTTTCATTAGCACGAGGTCCGAACCAAGGGATTTCAATGACTGTTTTAAATGGGCAAGTGATTGCTTCAGCCACCACCTTGATACCCGTCCAGGATAGAATTGTCCCTCCTCTTTAGGACACCATATGTACACAGGATATACAAAACCATCTCTAGCAGCAGCAGTTAAAGCAGGGTTGTCCTCAATCCTGAGGTCTCTCCGAAACCATACTATGGTCTTGTTGCAACCCATATTTGGGGAGTCAGAGCTTCCAGCATCCACTTCAGTGACAGAAAGGTTAAAGCCTTCTCAACATCTCAGAAATCTGAATCTATGTAAAGAACCACAATGATTCCATGGTCCCCCCAATTGCTGTCAACCAAATTCATAACAACCGATCAAAAATTACTCAAATCATATCACAAATCAGAAACACCACAGAAGAAGAAGCCAATTTAAAATATGAACTACAAGATTCCAGTAGAGAAATAAGCAGTAAACCGTCTGGCAACGGAAAAGGGGGCCATAACTACCCCAGATGATCAAGTTGACCACTCTCAAATTAGGACACGGTGCCAACGCCGTCTCAACAGCTTAAAACCAATCACGAGCACAATTTACAATCACAAGCTGATAGAAAGAGAGCCAGGGGAAAAATGCACAAGAACTCTTGAAGTATGATCGGAGCAGCTTCAAGAATTATAGTAGATCTGAGACAAACTTATGACTCTTCCCAACAATCGTCATACAAGAATACCATTTACCGAAACCAGGAAATATCAACACGAAATCTATACATAATCTGAAATCTATCGAGGATTCTAGCAAGATTACAACTTTTTCAGTAAGATATCAGAAACCCACTTAGCCCTACCAACCAAAAAACAAAAAAGGGGCTGAAATCTCAAGGTCATCATTTCACTTGAAGCAGATAAATAATCAATAATTAAAGAAAAACAAGAACAAAAAAGAACAGGATATAGATAAATGATCTCAAAATATACTTACGTACGATGGATTCGCCTAATCCGAAATAAACAGGGAGACTGTGAGGTTAATTAAGTGAATCACTAAATATCCTTCACGTGAGTTACTTGAAGGATCCAATTTCCTGAAGCTCACATGGTCGCTGACAATGACGGTGTTAGGAACCACTTCTTATCGTCGTATTGATTGTGAGCCCACTGGCAAAGAGATAAGGCTTGCCTCAACATGTGCCAACCACATGAGTCCAAAATGGACTTACCCCAATAGTTTTTCGGTAAACCCACCATGTTTGAGTCCTTGCATTTATACCTATTTAGGAAAGATTTGGCAGTTCGTTCACATTTGGGCCTCTCCAATTTTCTACAGTTCCTGCAAGTAGAAATGGGAATATTTAATCACAAAACAAACCGTAAAAACTTGCAGAATTCAAGCAAGAGCTTCTAGTTTTCCCCCAAAAAAAATCATAAAGAACTTGTATTGGAAGTGGAAACTACAGTTGGAAAAGTTAATAAACAGTCAATTTCACCGTACCTGTTTGAAATTTTGACAGTTCTCTACGAATTTCTTCATTCAATAAAATTAGATAACATCTGGACAAACAACCAATCAACCAATTGGTAATTCCCACATGCTGATGAACAAGGGTGGGGTGTGGCGTGTGGTGGTGTCGGCTAATTAACTTTAAAGATTGATAGAAAGCTGAAACCAAGGGTGGGGCATTAAAAACATTGATCTAATAAAGATTGATAGAAAGCTGAAAC